TATTTCTCCTTTTGATTTAAGGTTATTATTACAAAGACATAAAAAGTCAGCATGGTGTTCTTGTGAAGTGCATCAGCTAATGCTTTTCCTCCTTCTAATCCAAGATTATTTTTATAAAGATTAAAAGAAGTTAGAGTGGTGTTCTTACAAAGAGCATTCGCTAATGCTTTTCCTCCATTAGATCCAAGATAGTTCTGACTAAGACCCAAAGAAGTCAAAGTAGTATTCTTGCAAAGTGTATTAGCTAATGCTTGTACTCCTTCTGATCCAAGGTTATTAATTCCAAGAACCAAAGAAGTCAGAGTAGTGTTCTTGCAAAGTGCATTAGCTAATGCTTTTCCTTCTTCTGATCCAAGATTATTACGACTAAGATCCAAATAAGTTAGCATAGTACTCTTGCAAAGTGTATCAGCTAAAGCTTTTACTTCAGCTAATCCAAGATTATTTTTAGTAGGATTCAAAGAAGTCAAAGTAGAATTTTTATAAAGAATTTTTACTAATACTTTTATTGTTTTAGATTTAAGATCAACCCTAATTGGATATAATTTCATAGAGATAATAGTTGCATTCTCATAAAGATTTTCAAATATTATTTGATTGCAAATAATTTCACTAAGGCTTAAATGATTAAGATTCTTACTAGTTCGTTGAAACATCAAAATTAAAGAACATTTAATGGCATTTTCAAGATTACGTCCTATTCTATATTTTTCATAACAAAGCCAGTTTCTAATACCATCGTACAAATAATCATTAACAGTTGAGATATAGCTTGTATATTCAAATAACGGTTTTGGATGACTTGGAGGGGTGATCTTAAAAGGAATTAATAGAGTTTTTTCTTGAGCATTTAGTGTTAAAAAAAATATTTCTATAAGTCTTGTATCTTTGAAATGTTTATTTGGTTCGCACTATAATATTGGAATAATAATTCTACACCATTGACGATTTACAAGAGCACATGAAAATAAATTTTTACAATTAGACCGAAGTTTGTTAAATATTAAGTAGTAGCATTCATTTGGTAATGTTATCATATTAAAAATTGTTCGCGGTTGTGAGTGGCAAGATCGGCCCTGGTAGTTCTATTTTTACATTATGACTTTAATATTTCTGAATTCATGGTACAGGTGGTACAAATTGTAAGAATTCTAGGAATTCTTTAGATTATAGGAATAGTAAAGATAACAAGAATTAAAATTATTCTCATTATAAAGTAGATAATAGGAATAGTGTAGATTCAAAGAATTTAACCATATGTAAGGATAATTATATAAGGAGAGTTTTTCTCTCGCAATAAAAGGGCAGAAAAGTTTTACTTCGAAACAATTATAGTTGAAGTTACTTATCTTTTTCCCTTTTGCTCCTAATAAATCATCCATTTACCCTTGTAACTATCCTAGTATTATTAATAAAACCAATTATTACATCATATAGTCCAATTAGAGTAAAAGTGTTGAGTTGGCATTCTATATAGAAAACCTTGACCCAAGTCGTTTAACTTGTTAGAAAAATAATAAGAATTCAATAAAGATAAAACCCTCTTATAAATATACTTAACCTTACCCATGACACATTGTTATCACTAATTAGTATAACAATCGCATTAGTGATCGAAGTATTGTTGCATATTAATTGCATTGATCAGCCAAATTTCCTGTGACATCAGGAGCTCTTGACCTCATCAATCAATTGAAGATCCACTTCCGACCTTAGCTAATATCTATCTGTGATGTAAGAGTATTAAACTACTGAACACCGCAGTAGTTATCACATATGATCCACGTGACAATCATTAATAATCTTAATGAACATATTAAAGACTGGAACCTGCCTAAAACTTGACTCTAAGAAAAAGACATACTTAGCTTCCAGCTAAAGTATATTGGCAACCAAAACAAGTATAATTCAATAGTATACTTATCTTCTAGCTAAAGTATATTGGCAACCAAAACAAGTATAATTCAACAGTATACTTATTTTAACTGACAAGACAGCCACAGTAAGACCCGAAAAGCTTCGAGACTCGAACCAAGTTTCTCCACGCCTACTTTCTGCCTTACAAATCGAAGCATTTAGGGTTTTGGATTGTAGTTTAGATAATTTTTAGTATTATAGTTTATTTATTAGCACAGTTTATTTGTTATTATCATAGTTTTAGCTTTAGGCAACTAAGTCAGATGTTTTCAATTGGTGGTGACTGTGAGATTCGAACATCTCTAACCACACCCAAAACAATTTTTTTTTTTTTACTTTGGTTGAAATTTATTCTCGCACTCTTAATTAAATTAATATTTAAGAATTAAACAAATATTTTAAATATGTCGAACTTGGACCACTTCAAGAATAGAGATATCGAAGATCATCGAATAATTGAAGATAATAGATCTATCGATTACGAAGATGAGCAAGCCCCTGATCAACCAGCCCAAACACATCGAATCCTAAAAGAAATTGCTAAGGCCTTCAGAAATGTGGCCATGTACGACATTTAGCCGAATCCACATAAAAATAACTAGGTCTACGTAAAGACTTTCAAGAGTGAAGAAGACAAAGACCATGTAGAGTGGATTGAAGCATTTGAAAAAGCAGCTGATACGAACAATTGGACCGCGTTAAGGAAAATAAAAATTGCTTCAGGCCATTTAGCTGGAATTGCAGCACGCTAGTATCATAATAATAAGAATGGCCTTATCCTTTGGGATGAAGATGGTAAAGAAAACAAAGTACTTAGCTTTGTACTAGTATTTACCAAGTATTTCGCCACCCCGGAGCGAAAACATTAGTGGCAACTGGAGCTTTATTTGTTAAAACAAAAAGAAACAGAAAAAGTGGACATTATGCTTACCAATTCAAGAGATTGTTGAAACGAGTAGACCCCAATAAAGAAATTCTTGCAGCATATGTCATCAGAATGTTTCTAGGAGGCCTCTGGGGAAAAATCGCTGCTTTAATGTCGACTGATGACCCTAAAACCTTGGATGAAGTAATTTTTAAAGCCTGAAGAATAGAAATTGGAGGCTATTACGAGAAAGAAAAGAGCCTTCTAATACCGTCGTAATTACCGCCAACAGAACTAGAGAAAGAGCTCTAGAAAAGTTAGTGGAAATAAGATTAGTAATACAAGATGCATTGATACCTACCGATTTCCAGGTAATTGAAAGCCTCGAAAAAATGATGCTCCTCGGAATGGATTGGTTCCAGAAAGTACACACCTGCCTACATTTCGAAGAGAAAAAGTTATTTTTAAAATACCTGGTTAAATGCGTTGAGGTACCTATCTACCAGGCCAAAGAAGGAAAATTGGAGCCACCTCAAAGCCATGACAGTGACGAAAATGATTTCTTCAACCAGTATGAGGAATAACAAGACCTAGAAGAAGCAGAAAGTTATTATACAGATGATTCCGTAGTAGAAGAAGGGATAAACATTAACTATTGGAAAGAAAATAGCTCCGCAATATACCTAACGGCAATAGAGGAGCTCTCAACCTGGGAAAAAGAAAAGTCAAATGAACAAAACCCTAGGGAAATTATTAAACAATTAGTTCCAACAAAAATCCTGACTGAAAAACAAAAAGAAAAAGCAACTTATATGTTAGAAGAATTTCAAAAACTTTTTGCCTCCAGATTGCATCAATTGGCCAGTACCACGAAGTAGAACATGAAATAGATACTGGTGAAGCTCGACCAATCAAGCAATCGGCCTATAGAATCACCTCGGACAAACAAGACTTTATAAACAAAGAAATAAAGAAGTTGCTAAATAATGGATTAATATATGAAGTCAAGAGCCCTTGGACCTCATCTGTCATTATCATACCAAAAGAAAATATCAAACTCCATTTGTGCATCTATTATCGGAAGCTAAACGCCATTACGAAGAAAGACGCTTACCCATTACCTCGAATCGACAATCTGCTAAAAACTTTTGGAAAGGCAGAGTGGTTTAGTTCTCTGGATCTAGCCAGTGGATACTGGCAAATTGGTATAAACGAAAAGACCAGGAAAAAACAGCCTTTATCACCAAACAAGACACTTATGCATTCACAGTGATACCCTTCGGCCTGTGTAATGCCCTGGTGACATTCTAAAGGGCAATGAACCACCTCCTCTACGAAAATATTAGAAAAAACATCACAGTATATTTAGACGACATAATAATTTACTTGAAAACATTTGAAGAACATTTGACCCACCTTAAAGATGTTCTAACGAAACTAGCCAAGGCTGGATTAAAACTTAATCTCAAAAAATGTGAATTGCTAAGGAATTATATTAATTTCCTAGGTTATGCCATTGGAAAAGAAGGCATCAAGCCTGATGAATCAAAAGTAACTAAGGTTAAAATTTTCCCCCACTAGCCAACCTAAGGCAGTTAAGAGGCTTTATAGACCTAGCCTCTTACTACCGTCGATTTATAAAAAACTTTGCTATGATAGCAAAGCCGCTATATAGATTATTAGAAAAAGATACACTATACAATTGGGGCCAGGAACAAGAAAAGCCTTCCAAGATCTAAAAACTCACCTAACTACTGCCCCAGTCCCAAGATACCTGGACTTTGAGAAACCATTTTACCTATACACTGATGCATCTGGTGTAGATCTAGATGCAGTACTTGCACAAAAAGATGAGAACAAAAAAAAGTACGCTATTGCCTATGCAAGCAAAAGCCTTACTTGTCCTAAAAGAAACTACGCTGCCACAGAATTGGAATGCTATGCTGTGGTCTAGGCAGTAGAATACTTCCATCATTATTTGGATTACAAACCCTTCATAATTGTCAAAGATCACTCAGCCTTGAAATGGCTTCAAAATTCAGCGTTGAAAGGGTGTAGAGCTCGCTGAATCCTACATTTACAACCATACTAGTTTACCATCATACTCAGGGCAGGAAGAGTCCATAGAAATGCAGATGCTTCATCAAGAATGGTGAAAGAGTTATCTCGAAACCCAGAGAACAAAGAGAAAAGCAGCTGTTATCAAAAAGCAGCTGATATGAAGAATGCTGAGAAGAATCGAATTCAGCTTACCCAAGAGCCCTCAAAAGTACTGACCATGGAAATAGTTGAAGTAATAGAGAAATTTGAGATATTCAGAGCAATTGCCCAAGAATATTTCATCGATGGTTCTGATAAGGAAGTAGACACCATAGCTTGGAACCTTAGTATTGAAGAAAGTAAATGGAAATATGATGAAGAAGATACCAAAAACACAAAACAAGAGTATGAATGAGATGGGGAACTTACCACTAGCATAATGGCATGAGAAATAAATTTTCAAAACCTCCTAATCGAACTAGCCATGGAGGCAAGAATAGCGATAACCTGGGCAGAAGATAACGAATACCAGGATAGTTTGTTAAGTAATAATGACCCTGAAAGTGAGTTACAGCTAATGAATATTGATGAAGCATACCTAATCAATATAACCAATGGGATGAAATTGCTGAAGGATTGGAGTTTGAAGAAAACATCACTATCTCTGAAAATTATGACTCTTACCACTTTAATAAAAATTGGAATGAGCCTAACCAAAATAACCTGTTCTCGATTCCAAAGGCTGGTCACAATCGATGAATGAATACATCGATTGGGAATACTATGATTCCCTATGAAAATCTATTTTACAAAGAAGTAAAGGCTAGAAAATAACCTTAATGCTCCAACCTGGAAAAACAAGAATAAAAGTATAAAAAAAAAAGGAGAAAAGAGGACATTATAAAGATATAAAATTAGCATTATATATATATATAAAAAAAAAAAAAAACTTTATATATCTAGTTAAAGTATATTATTATTATTTTTCTTTGTAGTTATTGCTATGATTCTTTACAGACCTGACATTGGAGAAAGGATAGTTAGAATGGAATAGGGTGTGTTGTGGGGCCTTATTCAAAGAAAAATGATTATTCATTTTCTGGGACATTTTACAAATTATGCCACAAAATCTACATGAAGGAATTAGTTTACAACATAAGAAAATTCAGATACTACGAAGGAAAAGCACTTATTATCCATTCCCCAGAACCACCAAAAGCCTATCACAACAAAATAAGCAGCTATACAAATGAATTACGCCTCTATCAAAAGAAAGAAATCGCTAAAAAACTAACCAAGAATATTACAGAAAATTTCAGCCAGCAACTTATATGTTGGCCCAAAGTGAATGTAATTTCGGTACAATAAGGGTAAACCAACACAACCAAGGAATCTTGAGCGTGAAGAAACTCAAGTGAGTTAATTTATAATTAAGCAATAATTGATATTGCTATCAAAACAGAATTGGAGTCAAAAAAGACCGAACATTGATTAAATGACGTTTTATCCAAAAATTGAAGAATAAACGAGAGACTTAACAATATAGAAGAATTGCCTTAGAAGATTGGAAAGCGAGGGCTTGAAAAATTTTGCCATTTATTATGGTAGTAGACAATTAAATTCGAAAATCAACTTACCCGAGAAAAAGCGCACAAATGATTTAAACCATTAATAAGCCGAGGACAAAGATCTAAAAAGAACTAAAACTTACAAGTAACAGGATTATGATGACTGAAATTATCAAATCAGGGCAAAAACCGAAGGCTAGAAACTGAACTCATAACTATGAGAACTCGAAGTTTGCCAAAGATATTCCCACTAACATTGAAAAAGTAAGAGCAGTGCTTACTAGAAAAACGATCTAAAGCACTTGAAACCTGATATTAAATTCAATCTGGTCCAGGTCGTTGGTAGCTTGGCAGAAAGCAGTGAAAACAAAAATAATACTACTAAAAATTAAATATCTAAAATGGATCTGCAACTGTATCTAGTATTGAAGACTTATATTCAACACTGGCAGTAACCGCTGTACTACAATGAAGAAAAACGGAGGCAGTTGGTAAAAAACAGAACACTATACAAGAAAAATAAGAAGGCTCCAAAGAACCCGATAAAGGTGCTACAAGAAGGAGAATTAGAGACAGTATTATCTCTAGCCCATGATCATCCTTTAGGCACCCATTTCGGAAAAGATATCATGTTCAATAAAATCTGTAAGCATTATTACTAGCCTCAGATGTATAATGACATACTTGAGTATGTCAAAACATGCGAGAAATGCCAGATATATGGTGATAGAAGATTGAAAGAACCACTTCACCCAATTCCTGTCCAAGCCCCATTCCACAGAGTAGGGATGGATATAGTTGGGCCATTACCTACTACACCATGATTAAATAAATATATCGTAGTAGCAACCAACTATATGTCTAAATAGCCAGAAGCTCGTGCAATTCCAAAAGCAAATGCAGAGGAAGTGGCGAAGTTTATCTATGAGGACATTGTATGCAGACACAGATGCCCAAGTATCATATTGTCTGACCAAAGATTGCACTTTAATAATCACATAGTAGATGTGCTCTTAGCAGCTTTAAACACCAAGCACCACCTATCTATGCCGTACTACCTGCAGACAAATGGTCTTGTAGAACGTTTCAACAAAACTCTGTGTAAGTCGATATCGAAATTAGTGACAAACGTTACTAATTGGGATCTATTGATACCATCGATACTCTTTGATTACTGCACTGCAAAACAAGCCACGACCCAAGAAACGCTGTTTTACCTAATCTATGGGCAAAAAGCCTAGTTGCTCTTGCATCCTAGTACATCCAAGGATTTGTTGCATGATACGATCATCCAACGACTATATGAAATAGAGTATGATCTGCCTGAAGCCCATGATAGAGTGCTAAGCTGAATTAGTGCAGAGCAACAAAAACAGAAAGAGCATCATAATCAACAGCTCAAAGCCACTAGAGACTTTAAGATTGGTGAGAAAGTTCTAGTGCTAAATGCCAGGAAATTGGAAATGCGTAGCTATAAGTTAGAACCCAAATAGAAGGGCCATATTATATACATAATAACCTTCCAAATAGTGTGTATAAGCTATGGGAAATAGGCGGAAAAGTACTGGCAGTGCCTGTGAATAAGATATTATTAAAGCCCTACTATAAGAGAGAAAGTTTATAAATAAGGCAAAAAAAAATTTAACAAAGTAATAGCCATTAAATAACAAAAACAAAATAGTAAATCTTAATTCTACTCAACATATTCTATATGATTTATCGATGGTTCTTCCCTTGACGTTATGCCCATACTACAGTATGCCCTTTCTCTCCTGAACAGCCTAGCTCTATACAAGCTACTATCGCCTACCAGAACATGATTCAGACTCTAGCAGTAAAAGATCATATTAGAAGCCTGGTATACACCTTTTACTTAGGATCTGTTTTGGCTCCAATGAATGAGGCTCTGCCTCAAAACCTCCATCTAGTAATCAGCCGGCATTATCAAACTGCAGCTACCAGAGTATATCAGTTATTCTAATATGATAGAGTAGAACAGATACACTGTAGTGTCTATACTATCATTAGTCTAGTTAGGTACTTAAAAAGTGCCCAATTCGAATGGCTTTTGCAAGTGGCCTAGAAGTAGTCCTATATAGTCTAAAATTTAATTTAATTTTATTTTTTTTTCTTTCATTTTATTTTCTTTCCCTTCCTTACATAATTTCTCCAGTCCTTCCCTTATATAATATTTTTTTTTTTTAAAAAAAAAAAACCTTAATTGACAAACCATTCTGAAAAAAATCCGACCAATAAGCCCTGTGCCTATAATCTAAGATGAACCAAAAATTCAGCTACTTTTTATTGAATGAAAACTTTAGTCAATACCATTAAGCCCTCGTACCTATAACCTGGGCAACCATACACACAAGGCCCTTATATATATATATATATATATATATATATATATAAACTTTTTAAAGTGGTGAAAGAACCACATAATCATTGCAAAAAAGATGCCAACGAAAAAAGAAATGACACTTCAAGACTTGTTGGCAGTTACTCCTTCCATAATCATTGCTAAACCTTATCCATATCATGAAGACCAAGACCTCATAACTCAAATTAATTTAATCTATGATCAAATTACAGAAGCCAAGACCCATAGTGATTCTACTGGCATTCCGGGTTATGCCTATTACCTTGGGGAGAGACTCAGCACCGTAAGTCCTGCTAACAAGGTGCTTCTGCAAAGAACACGACTTTCCGCCTACTATATGATGGTATCGAAAAGGCTATATTATTTGTTCAGACCCTTGGGGGTCAAACAACTTTACCAGGCCAGTCATACTACCCTTACCCGGATCAAGAAGCTCACTGTCCTTGACTACAACGAATTACTGCAACAAATTCCCATGAAACAGGTTCTCTCTAGCAGGGGAGAATTGTGAGGGGCAAGATTGGCCCTGGTAGTTCTATTTTTACATTATGACCTTAATATTTTCGAATTCATAGTACAGGTGGTACAAATTGTAAGGATTCCAAGAATTCTTTAGATTATAGAAATAGTAAAGATAACAAGAATCAAAATTATTCTCATTATAAAGTAGATAATAGAAATAGTGTAGATTCAAAGAATTCAACTATATGTAAGGATAATTATATAAGGAGAGTTTTTCTCTCGCAATAAAAGGGCAGAAAAGTTTTACTTCGAAACAATTATAGTTGAAGTTACTTATCTTTTTCCCTTTTGCTCCTAATAAATCATCCATTTACCCTTGTAACTATCCTAGTATTATTAATAAAACCAATTATTACATCATATAGTCCAATTAGAGTAAAAGTGTTGAGTTGGCATTCTATATAGAAAACCTTGACCCAAGTCGTTTAACTTGTTAGAAAAATAATAAGAATTCAATAAAGATAAAACCCTCTTATAAATATACTTAACCTTACCCATGACACATTGTTATCACTAATTAGTATAACAATCGCATTAGTGATTGAAGTATTGTTGCATATTAATTGCATCGATCAGCCAAATTTCCCGTGATATCAGGAGCTCGTGACCTCATCAATCAATTGAAGATCCACTTCTGACCTTAGCTAATATCTACCCGTGATGTAAGAGTATTAAACTACTGAACACCGCAGTAGTTATCACACGTGATCCACATGACAATCGTTAAGAATCTTAACGAATATATTAAAGACTGGAACTCGCCTAAAACTTGACTCTAAGAAAAAGACATACTTAGCTTCCAGCTAAAGTATATTGGCAACCAAAACAAGTATAATTCAACAGTATACTTATCTTAACTGACAAGACAGCCGCAGTAAGACCCGAAAAGCTTCAAGACTCAGACCAAGTTTCTCCATGCCTACTTTCTGCCTTACAAATCAAAGCATTTAGGGTTTTGGATTGTAGTTTAGATAATTTTTAGTATTATAGTTTATTTATTAGCACAGTTTATTTGTTATTATCATAGTTTTAGCTTTAGACAACTAAGTCAGATGTTTTTGCAGTACACGCCCACAGTTTGAAAAGAGTTTTGAAAAATGTTTGTGTTATTTAAATTTCAATTCCAGTTTAAATAATTTTGTGCAACTAAAGTCATATGCCTGAATTCGCCAAGTTAAGGGTAGGGTGAAGCGATCTACATTGTTACTAATTTTTTTTACAATAACATTCAATTGAAATCAGGTGATGATCATATGTTATTTATATTGTGTAACCTAGGCAAATTTTGTGCAATCTAGGCAAATTAAATAGTAAAAACATATAAAAATCGATTTTACTATATTTGTCAAGACCCTTAAATTGACGATCTTTGTAAAGTTTAAGAATTTTGAAATTTAAAAATTGGTTTAGTCGGCTATGTAAGGTTGACTACTTTATGTAATTAATATATATCCTGAATTTACACATCAAACACCATTATTAATCCGTTTGACTTTCTAGTTTTCCTAATCTTTCTATGTATGTATTATCAATTTTCGTTAATGATTCCATAAATTGATTCTGTTACTGTTGCAACAATAGATTTCAATTGTAAGGAGAAACCAACGCAACGGAAGTTAAGCTTCGGTGACTTATTTAATAGAAATTTTTATGAAATTTTTTATGTGGATAGCAAAAATTATGAAAATAGAAAGAGTATGCTCAAGCATAAATTTTATAAATATCGTCATTAATTGTGATGCTTGAGTATAATCATTGTTTAATCAATTTTGAGAACCTCCTTAACGAATAAGTTGATTTTATCGACTACAATCACTTTTATTCTATTTTTTTTTCAGATTAAAGTGTCCCATTGTTTAATTTATTGATTCGCCGTTGGAACAAAATCTTATGTAAATATGAATCAAGATTTTAATTATAATCAATATCTTAAAATTGGCCAGAAAGTCCAAACAGCGGTTTTCAAGTCCATTCCCTATTTGTTTGAACTAATCCGGAAGTGATTTTTTACTGAGCTAAATTAAGCAAAACACATGATAGAAAAAACAAGTAATTTACCAAGTTGACAGAATGGCAATATGGCTGTAAATTGACAGAATCACGTAATCCTTGTCTTTGGGCTGATAGCGAGAATTTCTGGCTGATATTTTCTCCACACTGAGCATGAGTTGAGGATGTTGTAAACAACTTACGCTGTATTGATGACAGCTTAATTCCCAATTTTTTCAAAGCGATGTTTATAAAAATGCCTTCGTGAAAAACTTATGTTTCTGCGCATAATGGGTATAATATTATTAAATCGTGCATGCACTCTGACTACTAGTCGAAATGGATATAACCTAAATGCATATATATACATTCATAAATGGATACAAATTTTAGACTTTATAATTAACATGATTTCTCGATCGCTATGACAAATTTATGAGGATGGTTAATGTATAATACCATGAATGATATGTATACAAGTGAAACGAAGTAAACAAAATTTCGTTAATACTCAATTACATATGGTATTTTATTAAAAAATTGGGTTATATGGTCTAAATGTATACATTGCTTAAATTCGTGAAAACATCTATGACAGATAGTATTAAATTGAATTCCTGGATATGAATTTAGTCCTCGAATTTTAAAGTTCAATTTTGGAATTATAAATTGAGAATAAATTCGTGAATGTTGCTATCACAGTATCAATTGTAGACTTAGGAAATACATGTGCTATTTGCTATATTCTGATTATATGTTATTGTAATATTTCTATGCTTTTATTGTTTGGCTTTAATTTAAAACCAATATTGTTCGAACGAAGATCTAAATAAGTAAGAGAGGTGTTCTTGCAAAGTGCATCCTCTAATGCTTTTCCTCCTTTTGATCTAAGGTTATTTTTATAAAGTTCCAAAGAAGTCAGCGTAGTGTTCTTGCAAAGTGCATCCGCCAATGCTTTTCCTCCTTCGGGTCCAAGATTATTTTTATAAAGTTCCAAAGAAGTCAGCGTAGTGTTCTTGCAAAGTGCATCCGCTAATGCTTTTCCCCCTTCAGATCCAAGATTATTTTTTCCAAGATCTAAAGTTGTCAGAGTGGCGTGCATCAGCTAATGCTATTCCTCCTTCTGATTTAAGGTTATTATTCCAAAGACATAAAGAAGTCAGCGTGGTGTTTTCACGAAGTGCATCAGCTAATGCTTTTCCTTCGTTTGATCCAAGATTATTCCGACCAAGATCCAAAGAAGTCAGCGCAGTATTCTTGCAAAGTGCATCAGCTAATGCTATTCCTCCGTTTGATTCAAGGTTATTATTCCAAAGATCCAAAGAGGTCAGCGTAGTATTCTTGTAAAGTGCATCAGCTAATGCTTTTCCTCCTTCGGATCCAAGAGAATTCTGATTAAGATATAAAGAAGTCAGAGTGGTGTTCTTGTTAGCGCATCAGCTAATGCTTTTCCTCCTTCGGATTCAAGCTCATTCTGACTAAGATTTAAAGATGTCAGTGTCGTTCTTGCAAAGTGCATCCGCTAATGCTTTTCCTCCTTCTGATCCAAGGTTATTTTCTTCAAGATACAAAGAAGTCAGAGTTGCGTTCTTGCAAAGTGCATCAGCTAAAGCTTTTCCTCCTTCTGACCCAAGATTATTCCAACTAAGATTCAAAGAAGTTAATGAAGTGTTCTTGCAAAGTGCGTCAGCTAATGCTTTTCCTCCTCCTAATCCAAGTTTATTACTTCCGAGAACCAAAGAAGTCAGAGTAGCGTTCTTGCAAAGTGCATCCGCTAATGCTTTTCCTCCTTCTGATCCAAGATTATTTCCTTCAAGATATAAAAAAGTCAGCGTGGTATTCTTGCTAAGTGCATCAGATAATGCTTTTCCTTCATTTGATCCAAGATTATTATGACTAAGATTTAAGGAAGTAAGAGTAGAATTCTTATAAAGATTTTTTACTAATACATCTATTGTTTTAAATTTAATTTCTAAACTATTTATATATAACCTCATGGAAAGATTTTCAAATATTATTTTATCGGAAATAATTTTACTAAGGCTTAAATGTTTAAGATTCTTACTAGTTCGCAGAAACATCAGAATCAAAGAATATTTAACGGTATTTTCAAGGTTACATCCTGTTTTATATCCTCTATCACGAAGCCAGCTATTAATGCCATCACGAAAATTATAATTAATGGATGTAATATAACTTGTATATTCAAATAGTGGTTTTGGGTGACTTGGAATGGTGATTTTAAAAGGAATTAATAGAGTTTGCTCTTGAATATTTAGTGTTAAAAGAAATATTTCTATAAGTCTTTTATCTTTAAAATGGTCATTCGGTTCGCTCCACAATATTGGGATAACAATTCTACACCATTGACGGTTTACAAGAGCACATGAAAATAAATTTTTACAATTAGACCGAAGGTTATTAAAAATTAGGCAGTAGCTTTCATTCGGTAATGTTATCATATTGTAAAAATGTTCGTAGTATACGTCCACAGTTTGAGAAGAGTTTTGAAAATGGTTGTGTTATACAAAATTTCAATTCCGAATTTAAATAATTTTTTTGTACAATAAAAGTCATACGCTTCGATTCAATTCGTCAAGTTAAGTTGACGATCTTCGTAAAGTTTTAAGAATTTCGAAATTTAAAAGGGAAATGATTTGCGTACATCGGTTTCGTGTCGGGTACCCTTATGCAGTGTTGTCACTCGGACAACTCGGACAATACTCGGACAGAGTTTGACACTAAATAATACTAAATAGGGCAAGATT